ATACTGCTCAGCCCTAATAAGATTTCCAATCTGGGAAATATTAATACTATCTTTAGTCTTGGGAAATTCTCAGCTATTACATCCTCAAATATTGCTTCTGCATCTTTTCTATTTTCTCCTCTTGGGACCCCTATGCGCTGGAGATTTTTTATCTGTCCTCCAGATCTCTTAACTTTCTTTTCATACTCTCCATCCCATTTTCTCTTCTGCCTCATTTTGGGACACTTCTTTCACTCAGTCTTCCACTTTCCCAACTCATTTGTTATTGTGGGCAACATGCCCTTTGGTCTATTGTGTGGTTTAAAACACACCTGCAAATACTTTGCTAGTCCTTCCTCTGTGAGGTGGCATCTAACTCCTCTCCCCTTGAGTTAGGGCTAGTTTCAAAGATTCTCATCTAATGAACAGAATATAGTGAAAGTAACAAGTGTGTAACTTCCAAGATTTGGTCACAAAAAGCACTGTGGCCTCCTTCTTCCTTGTTCTATAATCACTTTCTTTAGGGGATGCCAGCTGCCAAGGTATGAGGACACATCAAGATACACTTCAGAGAGGCCCATGTGTGGAGGAACAGAGGTCATCTGCCACCTGCCATCTGAGGGAGTCACCGTAGAAGCATGTCCTCCAGCCCCAGTCAGGCCTTCAGATGACGGCAGCTGTGGCTGACATCTTCACAATAGAAAGAGACTCTAAACTAAAATCCGCTAGCTAAGCCAGTCCTGAGTTCCTGACACAAAGAAACTGTGAGATAATAAATACTTATTGTTTTAAGCTACTAATATTTTGCAGGATTTGTTAACTGATACACCTGTAGACTCCATTTTATTTTGTATTCCAGTAGCTCTTCGTTCATTTCTGATGTTTCTAATTTTTTGTAAACACCTGTTTTTTTCATTGCCTTCTGTTTATATTTCATTGCTTCTATGCCCCCTTATCTTGGAAGACATTTAAATTATCCATTTTCAAGCTTTTTAAAAATTGTTCTAATATCTCTTCTCCTTGGATATTGGTTCATCCATTTGCTGAATTTGTTCTTTGTCTTCCATGACGCTTGACTTCCTGAGTGCTCTGAAATTTTTTTGCGTGTGAAATTATCTTTTATGAAAATTTTCTCCTATAAATACCCAGAAAATCCAGAGCAGTTTTAAGGAGACCTTGATACTCAATTCAAGCTTCTTATATCAAAGTAATCTGGTTCCTGACCCCGGCCTTAAGCACGCAGCATGGTACCCAGATCCTGGGTGGAGCTTCTCAGCAACTTAGCCACAAGCCCAAACAGGAAAGCAGGGTTTTGCTGCTGATGCTCCAACATTGAAAGAGGAGAGTAGGTGTCCAGGCCTTAGCTTTATATAAGCTGCACATAACTTCAACCCCCAGCCTTCAGAGTAATGAGGTCCCAGCCCAAGTACATCAATTAGCCACTTCTATTCCTAGGACCCACAAGCCTAACAGCTAAAGCCTCCACATTTCAGTGTGACCCATGTGTTAAATAATTCTATGAAAACCAGTCCATGTATAACTGCTAGAAATTTCCTGTCTTGATTTAAGTGTAACTCTGTGCTTGTTAAATGTGTGTCCCCACCAAGGAAAAGGGGAGCCTTCAGCCCCTGGCCAATGTATTCTCCATGTACCAGAAATCTTATTTGCTAACTTTCCACATTTATTTTGCCTCTCTCCCCAATCACACCATAAGCTTCTAAAAGTCAGAGACAGGATCATGCCCTTTTTATTTCTCCTCATTGGGGGAGCAGAATGCCTTCAACACGGGAACTGCTCTATAAATATTTGATTGACTGACAGGTAAGGAGATAATGTGATGAAGAAGTCGGGGAGAAAAAGGAAGTAAAACTTCTCCCATAGTTCATCAGGATTTCTATCAGACACTCTCTGCAGAATATATATATATATATATATATATATATATATATATACATATACACACACAATACACACAGAGAGACACAAATTCTGTCTTCAATTTCAGAGAAATTGAAGTAAATTTAAAAATTAATCCTAAACTATAAAAATGTTTCTTCTCTGTGTCCCTTAACAAAATTTATTTTTGGTGTTGTGAGTTATTTTTTTTTCTTGCCACTTACCAAGATCTTTTTTTAAAGCAAACCAATGACTTTTTCTGTCTATTTTATTTTTTGAAAGAAGGAAAGGGAGGGAGAAAGAGATGGAGAAAAACATTGATGTTCAAGAAAAACATTGATCAGTTGCCTCTCACATGTCCCCAACCAGGGATATGGCCCATAACCCAGGTATGTGCCCTGACAGGGAATCAAATTGGCAACCTTTGGGTTTGTGGGACAATGCCCAACCCAGTGGGCATACCATTCAGGGCCAAAGACCCATTTTTTAATCACTAGAAATAATCCTGTCCAGTGTCCTCTGTTGACAGTCACGGAAATTGAGACCTGAGGGCCTATATGACTTGCCCAAGCAAACCATGGTCTGATATCTGGCTAGGTGCAACTCTAGGACCAGATGTTCTCCACTATCTAGACTGTTTCTCCTCATAATTTTGGGTCTAGGTATACTCTTACTAGTAGCACCACAGAAGAGTTAGAATTAATTCTAATTCTGTCAATAAATAACACTAAATTTTTACCAATATGGAATCCATACTTCACCTTGCTTTATAAATATCACCTTATTCCTGGACTTTTGCTGTGGGTCAGTAAAATCAACTGGTACATCTAAACATGGAACCTTTAATCTCATCCCCCTTAGCCAATTGAGTGTACATTATGCTCCCATCTGTCATTCAAGATCATTTCAGCCAACATTTATTGTTGCCTGGTGTTTACCAGGCACTGCTCTCAACAAAGAAAATAAAGAAACAACCAAGGTTGCCCAGGGTTCATTAGTTAATAGAATGATAGACATGTAGACACATAACTATAATAAAATGTCTGTAGTGAATTAGGGGTATCAAAGTGGAACACCCTTTTAATGAAGAAAATTATAAATAATTTAGAAAAATGGAACTTCCAGCCAAGATGGAAGTGTAGGTAGATATGCTTTGCTTCTTCGCACAACCAAAAGTACAACAACCAATGTAAAAACAAAAAACAACCAGAACTCATAGAAAACTGAACTGTATGGAAGTCTAACAACCAAGAAATTAAAGAAGAAACATTCATGCAGATTGGCAGAAAGGGCAGAGACAGAGCAGCCATGGTGAAGAGGATGTGCATCAAAGTGGAAGCTGGCAGATTGGGCTGAGAAGGTGGTGGCTGGTTGACCGGATGGTCCCACATTCACCTGCGGATAAACTGGGAGGAATAACTGGAGAGTAAGACAGACCGTGCAACCCAGGGTTCCAGCATGGGGAAATAAAGCCTCAAAACCTCTGGCTCCTGTAGGGGTTGCAGCAGTGGGAGAAACTCCTTATCCCACAGAAGAGTCCATTAGAGGCACCCATGGGGCCCCAGAATGTACACAGATGCACCCACCCATGAATCCACACCAAAAGAACACAATTCCTTTGTGGGTAGCAGGGGAAGTGACTGAAAGGGGTCAAGACCATGCAAGTGGCATTGTTTTCTCTCTGACCTCTCCCCCACATACAGTGCCACAACACAGGGAAGTCGGTTGCCCCACCCTGGTGAATACTTAAGGCTCCATTTCTTACAATGTAATAGGGGCACCCAGACAAAAAAATATGGCCCAAATAAAAGAACAGATCAAAACTCCAGAAAAAGAACTAAGCAATAGGAGATGGCCAACCTATCAGATGCAGAGTTTAAAACACTGGTAATCAGGATGTTCACAGAAATGACTGAGTATGGATGCGAAAGAAAGAAAGAGGTACAGGCTATGCATAGTAAAATAAAGAAAGATACATAGGGAACCAACAGTGAAGGGAAGGAAACTGGGACACAAATCAACAATTTGGAACAGAAGGAAGAAACAAACATTCAACCAGAACGGAATGAAAAACAAGAATTTTAAAAAATGAAGACAGGCTTAGGAACCTCTGGGACAAATTTAAATGTTCCAATATCTGATTCATAGGGGTGCCAGAAGGGGAAGAGGAAGAGCAACAGTGGAAAAGTTATTTGAACAAATAACAAAGGAGAACTTCCCCAATCTGGCAAAGGAAATAGACTTCCAGGAAATCCAGGAAGCTCGGAGAGTCCCAAATAAGGTGGACCCAAGGAGGAACACAACAAGGCACATCATAATTGCATTACCCAAGATTAAAATGAAGGAGAGAATTCTAGAAGCAGCAAGAGATAAGGGGACAGTCACCTACAAAGGAGTTCCCATCAGACAGCTGATTTCTCAAAAGAGACCTTACAGGCAAGAAGGAGATGGGAAGAAGTATTCCAAGTCATGAAAGGCAAGGACCTACATCCAAGATTGCTCTATCCAGCAAAGCTATCATTTAGAATGGAAGGGCAGATAATGTGCTTCCCAGATAAGGTAAAGTTCAAGGAGTTCATCATCACCAAGCCCTTATATGGGATGTTAAAGGGACTTATCTAAGAAAAAGAAAATCAAAACTCTGAACAGTGACATGACAACAAACTCACAACTATCAACGACTGAACCTAAAAACAAAAATGAAAACAAACTAAGCAAACAACTAGAACAGGAACAGAATCACAGAAATGGAGATCACATGGAGGGTTACCAGCAAGGAGGGGGGAGAAAAGAATGGGAGAAAAGGTACAGAGAATAAGAAACATAATTAGTAGGCACAGGGGGAAGTTAAGAATAACATAGGAAATGGAGAAGCCAAAGCACTTACATGAACAACCATGGGCATGAACTAAGTAAGGTCAGGGATGCTGGAGGGAAAGGGGCTACAGGATGGAGGTGGACAAAGAGGAAGAAAAAAATGGGACAACTGTAATAGGATAATCAATAAAATATACTTAAAATAGTTTTAATAAAGAAAAATGGGCCCTGGCTGGTGTAGCTCAGGGGATTGAGCATAGGCTGGGAACCAAATGGTCACTGGTTTGATTCCCAGTCAGGGCACATACCTGGATTGTGGGCCAGGTCCCCAGTGGGGAAGCTGTGTGAGAGGCAACCACACATTGATGTTTCTCTCCCTCTCTTTCTTCCTCCTTTTCCTTCTCTCTAAAAATAAATAAATAAAACTTAATTTTTTTTTAAAAAAAAGAAAGAAACATGGAAATTGTTTAAAGCACATTCTCTGTTCACACTCTCTGTTCACCATAAAACAGACATAGAAATATTAACAAAAGTGACAACCTCCCCCAAAATATACACTCAGCTCTTTGAAATTTTTAAAATTAACTCATAAATAATTTTGGTTAAAGAGCGGAAAACAGTACAGTTCAGAACTATACAGAAAACTGCATATACAAGCTTCTGAGATGCTCTCAAATCTGTAGCTTCCACCTCATCCACCACCATCTTAATTCTGCTTCCTCTAATCTATAGTCAGGGGGCAACTATGTGTCCTTAAATATTTTCATCAGGAATTTTAAGAGGATAAAAATAACTAAAATTTCAAATCAAATTTTTTAAAAGGTAAAAAGAAATAATTTTAAAAAGGAAAACAAATTTATGTATTTTAAAAAGTTGCATTTATAAATATATCTAAAAAAATAAAATAGCCCTGGCTGGTGTAGCTCAGTGGATTGAGCATAGCTCAGTGGATTGAGCACTGGCCTGCGAATCAGAAGATCGCGGTTCGATTCTCAGTCAGGGCACATGCCTGGGTTGCAGGCTGGTTCCCTGCGGACCAGTTCCCAGCAGGGGATGCATGAAAGGCAACTATACATTGATGTTTTTCTCCCTTTCTCCTTCCCCTCTAAAGGTAAATTTAAAAATCTTTTAAAAAATTAATAAATAAAATATAACTATTCACGACTAGGAGTAAAAAAGTATATAATCCACTGACATAAAATACTTATACTCATAAAAAAATTTAATGTAGCATACCACAAAAAAATTCTACAAAATAGATAATTTCCTAATATGCAGATTACCAGAGTTGTATCCCAAAAAAGTAGAAAATTTGAACAAACAAATGCTGTGGAAGAAATTGGAAAAGTCTGCCAAGGGATTAGATCCAGATGGTTTTATGGGCAAATTCTTTCAAACTTTCAAGAAATCAACTATTCTATTGCCATGTAAAATGTTCCAGACCATATAATTTTTTTGAAAGCTCCCTTGTTTAATTTGTGAAGTTAGCATAATGCCCATACCAAAATCTGACAAAGACTAAAACAGCACAATAAACAGTCTAAAAAACTTTGGCCCATCTCATATTGGTATAAGTAAAAGATCAAAATACATCAAGGACAGGTTAACTATGCTCATTATTCCCATGGTAGTTATTTTTTTTAAAGACAGTTAGCCAACACAGTAATAGAAGAAGAAATAAGAAATGCCAACATTGAAAAGGAGACCAAATTAACATTATTTACATAACTGATAGTCACCAACCCCAAAAATTCAAGGTAGTAAACCACTGAAACTAATTACCCAGTAAACTAGACAATTACAAATAAATATGTATAAAAGATAATGTCTTCTTAAAATAGCAACAATAACTACCCAGTATATATAATGCATAAAGGATTTCATTTTCAATAGTAGCAAAAATACAAAGATCCTGGAATAAATTTAACCAGAAATGTGCAGGACCCTTATAAAGAAAATGACATGCTTTACAAAGATCCACAGAGAGTACTTGAGAATAGAAGAAGTATATGCATGCATATGTATTGTCTGAAAGGTAAGATTTAATATTGCAAAGCTCTACATTCTTCCCAAGTTAATGGACTTTTCTTCAAATTAAAAATGGGAGTTTTAGGAATCTGAAAAAAATGTTTTTGAATTTCAAAAATTGTTTTGAAAAATGGATAATAATGAAAAGAAGCTGAACTTCAGCTGCCAAAACAAATTGTAAACCTAGTAAATAAAATAATGCAGAACAGGAAGCACTAAAACAAGCTCAAGCAGGTAAGAATTTATCTAGGCTAGGAAAAGTGTGACATTTCAAATGTACAGAAAGAGATGAAATTTTTAAGAAGTGGTACTAGGATGACTATTTCAAATAAAATGTAAAATTCAATCCTTACCTCATATGCATGCCAAAATTTCTAATGGAGTTTACAAATCAAGTGTGCAAAAAATAATAAAAGAACAAAAATGTAGATGAATACTGATCTCATGGTTAGTATACAAAACTTTTATGAATAAAATTAGGAAGGGAGGACCCCGGCTGGTGTGGCTCAATTGGTTGGAGCATTATTCCATAACCAAAAGGTTGTGGGTTTGATTCCCAGTCAGGGCACATACCTAGGGTGTAAGTTCAGTCCCTGCTCCAGGCTTGAATGATTCTGGGCCAGACACATAGGGAAAGCAACCAATCAGTGCTTCTCTCTCACATCAATGTTTCTCTCCCTTCCTTTCTCTCTAAAAGCAATGAAAAAGTATCCTCAGGTCAGGATTAAAAAATTAGGAAGGAAGGAAATACATATTTAATGACAAGCAAATTACTTCTAGAAATAAAAGACATTAACACACACTGAAGGCAAATGTTAACTTGATAGAAATGTTTGCAACATATGAGACAAAGAATTAAGATTCTTACAATAAGCTCTTATAAATCTATAAGAAAAATTAAATATTGTTAAAAATGAGAAAATAACATGAACAAGCAATTCAAAAAATGAAACACAGATAACACAGAAGTGTTTATAATATTTAGCTTTACTAATAACCAAAGAAGTTCAAGGTAAAACAAGGTACCACATTTCATTTCATTTCATTTCAAAAATTGAAATATCCAAGGCAGGTGAGGATATAGGGTAATGGCTTTTTATTTGTTCTGTTGGCAAACTGTAAATTAATAGACTTCTGAGGAGCAATTTCATAATATGTATCAAATAACCACTCAAATATTCACCACTTTTGCCCAGGATTTCCACCTCTCAGATTTTACCCTAAGAAAATGATCAAAGCTGCTTACAGAAATACACATATAATATTCTTTGCAGTTTAACCTCATTAGAGAAGAGTTTGAAATCTCTAAAATACATTTAATCAGGGCCCTGATTAAATGAGTTACAGAATATCCACATGCAAACTCATTAAAATTTACCTATAGATTATCTAACGACACAAGAAAATGTCCAGCAGACATTTGCTGGACATTGCTAAAGAAAATGTTATAAAACAGTATGTGAAAAATAACCTTAACTGCGTTTTAATTTTTTAATCATGAGATTTGTTACACAATGTCTATCTTGTTCACTCTCATTCTGCTAGAATGTTCTCATCCTTGGGTGCACATTAGAATAGTCTGGAACATTTTTACAGAATGCTCCTGCCTGGGCCCCAACCACCATCCCCCAAATTAAAACAGAATCTCCGTGGGTGGGTCGCTGTTGTCGTAGTTGTTTTTCAAATTTATCCAAGTGATTCTAATACACAGCCAGTGTTAAAGAAAAAACTATTGCTGCGTAGAGCAGTGATGCTAAGAACTGGGCAGTTTCGCCCCAGGGGACATTTAGCAGTATCTGGAGACATTTTTGGTTGTCATCCAAACTTGGAGTGAGGAACACTACCAAGGTCTTGTGGGTGGGGTCCAGGTTTTCTGGACTGAATTTGTCCCTCCAAAATTCGTATGTTAAAGTCCCAAGCCCTAGTACCTCAGAATGTAACAGGAGTTGGAGGTAAGATCATCAAGAAGTGATTAAGTTAAAATGAGGCCTTTGGGGTGGCGGCTAAATCCAATATAACCAATGACTTTATAAGAAGAAGAAAGCCACCAGGATGTGCCTGCATGGAGAAAAGGCCGTGTGAGGACTCAGGGAGGAGGTGGCCATCTGAGAGCCAAGGGGAGAGACCTCAGGAGACACCAGCCCTGATGTCACCTTGACATTGGACTTCTACCTGCCAGAACTGTAAGAAAATAAATTTCTGTTGTTTAAGCACCACCCCTACCCCCAACCATCTGTGGCATTTTGTCACGGTGGCCCTTCCAAACAGCCATGTTGCTAAATACTGCCAATGCACAGGTTATTTCCCACAACAAAGAGTTATTTGACCCAAAATGTCAATAATGCCAAGGCTGAGAAACTTTGCTCTGGAGTCTAGCTTGGTGCTATATGTAGATAATCAATAAATATTTTCTTTACCAGATGAATGAGACATGTAGTAGGTAAAAATCAGCAGGAGTTAGTCACCTATTGAATGTATGCACAGGGGGAGAGGGAAGAGTCAAGAATGATGACCAGATTTCTGGTTGGGCCAAGCAGGTGAATGGGGAAAGCTGGATTCGGCAGGGTGAACAGGTTGAAGAGGGAATTAGGTAGAAGCTGAGGGGGACTTCACCACCCGATGAAGGTGTTAGTGGTCAATCAGAAACAGTCCTCTGGAAATACCAACAAGGCTATTGCTGATGTGTAAGCAGAGACTAGGCTGTTACATGGAAATAAAACTGTCCCAGAGGAGAACTTAGAATCAGCAAGGTAGCAACCATGTAACCTTGGAGATCCCCAATATTTAAAGAGCAGGCACATCAAATGAAGGAAGAAGAAAAACCCTGATTGAGAAGCTTCCAAGGGCAGTCAAGGAAGCTGTGATAGTTACTCACTATAGACTGGGCTGTTCTGTAGTAGCCAATTATTCCACCAAACCTTATCTAGGTGTTGTGGTGGCATTCTGCAGATGTGAGTAACATCTACAATCAGTTGACTTTAAGGAAAGGATCATGTGAGTGGGCCTCATCCAGTCAGTTGCAAGGCCTTAGAAGCAAAACTGAAGAAGTCCTGCCACCAGCAGCATCAGCTCCTGCCTCAGTTTCCAGCCGGCCACCCGGCCCTACAGGTTTCAGACTTGCCAGTGCCCATGATGGCCTCAGCTCCCCTTCTGTTGCCCTAAAGACCCCGGACTGATACAGAAGCTGAGGAGGGATGGGGAGAAGTCAGTTGACTGCTCCATTCTGCCCTCTTACACACTGGCCATGGCATAAAGGGGTAGGAAAAAAAAGAGAGGTTACTCCACACCCATGGTAAGAACTCAGGAGAGGAAAAAAGAGAAGAGAAGGGGAGCACAGGAAGATTTCAA